TGGGAGCAGGAAGATCAAATTATGACTTGGTAAGAACTCTGATGATGAAGAATTTCACAGCTGACATCTTCCATTTAAAAAAAAATAATTTAGATTCAATAAACATCACTATTGAAAATGAACACTGCTGCTGTGATGTTTTCATTCATTAAACAGATGTTTTACAACAGTCTTCAGATTTATCTTTCTTTTTATTTTTGTTAAAAGCTTGATAGATACCTTGCTGGAATTTTTCTAATTAAAAAATATCTTTTGCAGAATTTATTGATCAGAAGATTAGTCAAGGCGACATGGGATTAGGCTCATAGAGTGTTGTAGTAACGTTATGGAAATGATATGCGGTTGGATCTTAATGTGTGAGTTGATGCATTTTGAGTGAATTAATGTATCTGTTACAGAAATATAAACAGGCCTGTTCAGTTTCTTGTTTGTGTGTCAGCTGACAATTTGCTCCTAGACAAATCTAAGTCTGCCTGAAGTCTCAATAATTGCAATTAATGTTTTCATTTCGCCAATATGTTTCTTCTACAGTATTGCTGTCTTATAGCGGCCGCGTCAAAATTCTGGGTTTAATCTTATAGAGAATTTGTGGAGGGAGCTAAAAATATAGTGATAAAGTGACTAGTAACTGAAAACATGCAAAAAGCAATAAAGTGATTATGAAATTGATTTTATAGGTGCCATAAAAACATTTCTAATCAATTTAAATATAAAGCTACCGACGGTACACACAATTTTAGCCATAGCTTTCCCTGTCTATCGATCTTCTTTCAAGGATAACTCCTCTTGCTACTGCTTTCAAGGCTTCAATATAAAAAGACATTTAAAAAAATAATTCTGCAATACTCAACTCTCACAAGCTCTCCTAGTTATGTATGCACCAGGGTTATGTATTCAAATTCCTACTGTTCACAAAATCTGTGTGCTCTTTGCAAAAACAACACAGGTTTTGGAAAACAAGAGCTTGTTTATAAAGTGCATTGGTGGCTATTGTTAAATATAAATATTTTTACATGATAAATGAAAACAGGGTATAATCAGTGTCATCATCAGCGCAGCAAAAAATACAAAAATGTCCAAAAATACATTTTGTTTTTGATAACTTCCGATATATTTTCTAAGACTATCAAAGTGTTCACATCCACCCTGTTTAGTGTCTTTAATCCAACTCCAGTCCAGTAGCCTAAAAGTCCAGTTCACTCGCAGAGGTATGGATGAATAATGACCTCTGATGTGAACTCTGATCCACCTACAAACCTTGGTCTGGGTTTGACTGAATTTTGGTCACCAACAGAAATTATTCTGTCATGTTTCTGGGTTTTTTTTTTGTTTTTTTTTGTGTGTGTGTTTTTTTTTTTGTTAGATTTAAACAGTAAGCACCGAACCTTTTAATGGGAGATTTTATCCCTCCAGGTATGAAGTCCCATATGGTAGGTAAAGTGTGTCTGACAGCAGCCTCCCAATGTTCTAAAAAATAAAGTTACTTATTGAAATACATTTTAATGAGTTTATGTCTAAACGACTATAGTGAAGTCAAATTATGCATCAGCTAGAAGAAGAACCAAGCTGAACTGAAGATCTTGTACGTCCTCAAGCTAAGCTTACTGTGTCAAGTCTTCATCCCGATGTTCACTCACTAATTAGCATTCAGCTGTGGAGAGGAGGCATAACATCACTGAACACACGCAGTTCTTACAGCAGTGCTGCTCAGAGAATAGGAAGATTTGTGGAGAATCGCCATAAGTAGGTGCAAAAGTGAAAATATTTACTTCATGATAGTGAAAGAGCTCTGTGCAGGAGAAGGTAATGAGGCAGGAACAGCGACAGGGTAACAGAGTATCTGCTGACTGCTAACATGCACATTTGGGAAACACATGTGAATTAATCTGAAAACCTGTTCACTAGTGACAGTATCCAAATGGTGTGTAGTGAGATAAACCAACAACATCGCTCAGACTGAAAAAAAACAACAACAAAAAAACGCAATGGATTAAACCCTGCTGTGGGTAGCACTACTGCTTTACACCAAGCAGTTCCTCTAATTATACCCATTTTTAACTTTAAATCAAGTTGAATTTCTTACAAGAGTATGCAGCAAGGTATAGCTATGAAAAAAACAAAGGTTATTAAATATTAATAGTCTATTCAGATATTGTGGGGCATTAAAATGCAGGATTTATTTTTGCAACTTACTTTTGGGAAAGGTAGCATTGCACATTAATTAGTCTTTGTACAACAATTTTCTATTCATATGCCTGTTCCACAATGCAACTCCTTAACTATGTTGATTATGGACAGCAAATCCATCCATCTATACTAGCTTAAGGAATCCATCTTAGCATCCATCTGGAAATGAAGGAACTTGTCATAATTGTAGGCTACCGGTAGGCTTGGCTATGAAATCTCAACTGTTGTGAACAGGATCCATGTGGCTCATAGAGTACAGTACACCTGAGTATGCAGGAGCCTACCTTATTTACTTTTTGAGACCAAGAAATGCTTGTTAAGACACAAGAATATAAAATTATTCACACTTGTTGGAAGTTTTTTTGTGATGTGACTGATGCTAACCTCTTCTTATAACAAGCATTAAACCAGACTGAAATTATGATCCTGCTAAGCATGAAAATGAAGGAAAACCCACAATGACTAAGCATGTCTGTAACGAGATTCATTGGAGAAATACACTCACTGCCTGCCTTATTAGACACACCTGTTCAATTGCTTGTTAACACAAGATAGTGACTCAGCCGACCACAGCGACTCAGTGTGATTGGTGAAGACAACACACAGATGTTCAAAATGAGCCTCTAAATGTGGAAAAATGGGTTAAAGTGAAAGAGTTAAAAACCTCGCCGGCGGTGTGAGGGACACTTGTGTGGATATCAGAAGATAATGAACAAGCTGGTTGTTCAGATGACCAGATATGCAGAATAACATCTCTAAAAGCTCAACGTCTGGGCTAGAGACAACAGAAGACCACGGAAGTGTGATTTCCAGTTGTTGGCTAACAACTGGAAACTGAGGCTATAATCAACAGTAATGATCAGTATCAATCATGAACAGAAGTGACAAAAGAATCATGTGGAACAGAGTTCTGGTGGTCTTTGTTGTCAAGGGGCAGCTAAAAAAATGACCTTTTTTTAGCTTTACATGTTATAATGTCATTCCCTCAACAAAAGCATACCTGGAGTGTTGCCTTGATTCTTTCATGCATGTTTGAGAAATCCTTTAATCTCCATGGCAACCAGTAAGCTGTGCAAAATGCCTGGATGGATCTAGCCCCACCTTCAAGGCGTGGCTTCTCCTCAGAGCTGAGGTTTTCAAGCTTCTGAGCTTTAGCCTCCCTGTGAGGGAGGGTGAGCAGCCCTCCCTCACAACACCCTCACCCAGCTCCTTCAGACTAGCCAGCAGCAATTAGCAAACACCTGGTGAAATCACTAAGCTCATAATAGGAGATACATGTCAGAGCTGCACTGGTAAAAATAATAAAGGGTTAATTGAGGATGTTGCGATGACTTCCTGAAGCCGGAGTTTCAGAAAAAGCAGGACATTTTAAAGACATAGAGGCCCAATTTCAAGGTTGTAATTCATAAAGTAACATTTGTTTGAAGTGATACGTCATAGCATTTTTACAGCAACGGAAGGCAACATAGTCACTTGATTGTTCTATGAAATTACACATAATGCCGCTCCTTTGAGACGTGCTTGAATGATGTGAAGAAATGTATGAGTGAATACTTTTTCACACTGAAGTGTGATTAAAAGTAACTTTATGCTTTATTACTTTGATTAAAACAATGTTCTCTTTATCTACAACTTGTTGATGCTTCCAGCTAATGAAAGCATTCGCTTCTCTCTTAGCCCGTCTCTCTCCCCAGCCTAACCTTCACCCAGATCCAGTTCATCACCAGCTAATTACAGAACTAGTGGAACATTCCCAGTAAACACCAGCCACTGGTGGATCATAAGCATTCCTCATGGTGCTTATTAAGGGATTTGAGTCCCATCCTGAAATAACTCAGCTCCTTCCCTCTAACACTCCCCCGCCACCAAACACTTGCTTATAATTCTATTCGTCTCTTGATTGCAAAAGCTGCAGCTTATTCTGATGTATCTTCCACACACCATTAAAGACCAACCTCATACTGTAATCACTACACTGGAGGAAGTAACTGCATCCTAATTTTAATCACTGAAGCTTAACGTTCTGGATCATAACTGCCCGTCAAGCTTCTTTGAAAATGAAAGGCAGAAAAAAGAAAAAGAAATCACAGGGATTCAGCTGATGAGAGCTCTTAGTTGCCTCAGTTTTCATTTGTAAGCACAAAGGAAACTCTCAACCGTCTGGTCTAGGATTAATAACATCTGGGCTGTGAATCACATTTCTCCTCACATTATTGTGTCTTGACCAACTGAATCTCAAGACTTAAAATGCTGCTGATAGATGGCTACCTGGACTTTTTTTCTTGATTTATTATTATTTTTTTTGTAAACCAAGTTATCCTCAGATAGCAAAACGCCGGTGATGTTGAACAAACAGAATTTCTGGGTGTTTTTGTTGATTCCTTCTCAAGCAACTGGTTCTTCATTTATTCATTTAAATGATAAAACCATCCATTAATGTGCGGCGATGCTTTCAGAAGTCAGGGTTATCTGAGCTCACTCGTGCGTATTGTGATAAATCACAGCAAAAAGTCGAGTCAAAAACGCTACTGTGACCACTGAGCATTAATCACAGCAGGACAGACTATTAATCGTCCTCCATCCATCTTTTGATGGCATTGTTAGAGGGTCTAAGCAAACAACGTCCCGTTACTAGCTCTTATCAGAAGTGTTTGCTGTGTTGTGTGACTTACTCTTATGTAGTCTCAAGTGGAGTGTAGCTAGAAAACAGATTTGATTTCATCTTTGCGGTGGATTATGATCCTTCACCATCCATCACTCACTGTTTCAGGCCTGATTGTAACTGATGCTATGAACTTTGTGTGTCGTTGCAGCATCCCCAACTGTGCCTCCGCTTCACTCGGAGCATTTCAAACCCTGTCATGAGAAGGACTTGGCCTACTGCCTCAATGGTGGAGAATGCTTTGTCATCGAGACACTCAGTGGCCCCCACAAGCACTGCAAGTAAGTGACCACCTAATTTAAAGCTTCTGTTCTTTTAAGGCTCACACACTGATTACTCTACACTTCTGTTTATCTTTGCCACAATTTTGGGGAGGTGGATGGTAATTTAGAGAGCTATGGCCTTTTCATTAGTTTCTCTGAATGTTGCTTTACTTGTGGAGTTTCAGTGAATCTTATTCTTACTCCTGCTGAGCTCAGCCATGGCGTTGTATCTAAACACAAAAGCTTTAGTAAAATACCACAATCTAAGAATCATGGGATTTACCCTAAAATTACAACAAATATTCATAGGATAATCTTTTTGTTTTACATAAAAGCAATTAGTATTCTTACTCTTACAGAAAAATAAAAAATAGCGTAATTTTTTTCAGTCATCTTAAAGTCTAGATTTCCCATGAACATCTCATGACACGTCAGCTTCAACACTTTAATTTTGCCAAGGAAAATAATGAAGACTAACGGAATTAATCTCCTAAGGGGAAAGGGCTAGTCTACGGTAACATTAATAATAATTATTATTGTTACTATAGCCTTTAATTAGGCAGAGAAAAAAAACAACCTTGTTGAGATCTACAATTTCTTTTCAAGAGGGACCTGGCAAGATGGCAGCACTGTTTGCAAGTATCAACATTTATATTTAACTAGATATATTTGTTTAGTTTATCAAACACTTTTGTGAATTTGGACCAGGAATGGTGTAAAAACCTAACATACTGTGGAAGCATTAACTGGCCCACTCCTACTTGGGTAGCTTTGGGGAAAATATTGCTTGGGTCATCCACTATTATTATGAAAGGGCTAATAAACACAGGAGGAATATTTCCATCAGTTTTTACAATGCATGACAACAAGTAATGTTTGTCAGACCGTCATAATTTTTGACTCGACATTATCATTCATGAGCTTAGCAAAGTGCCTCTGAATTTTCTATCTCAACAACAACAAAAACACTTTAAGAAGTTTGTATAAATATGTCAAAATTATAAGTATCTTTTTTGAATAATAAATATCATTCATTAGCATCTTCACTTAATTTCTTGCCAGCAGCTAGAAACTTGGTAAACTAATGAACGAGTTGGAAAACTACTGAGTGATACCAGGTCAGTGTAGACTTCTGTAGTATTAAAACAACAAAGTGCTTTACTAGTGTGTTACTATTTATTATGCATTTACTGTGAATGATCAAGTTTCAGGTCTTAGTTTTTAAAAAGAAAGAGTCCATATTTTCTTTAGCTTTGCAACAAACCACCATGTTGTTTAACTTTAACAGTGAGCTCAATGTTTGTCCTCACAGACTTACTATTAAAACAAATGAACAAGATGTGTTTTCACTCCCCTTTTCTGTAATAAAGCCTCACCACAGGACAATTAGCTAAATGAGCTAATGACAAACAGAAGAAGCAATTTAATAAGGCTCTTCAGCCTACCTATAGTTTATTCATAAGTATCTCCTTTTTTTGTTCAAATTCATAGTTGGCATCAATGTTATAACAATCTTATGACTCAGAATAGATACCACAACATGTTTGATTAGAGTGCAGAAACAGATTTTTATATAAAATCCTGAGGTATCAAAATGTTTAACCCCAAACTTCAAATCAACCTGATCCAAACGTAACACTGAACAAATACATTTTCCTTCCTGCTTTCACAGACAACAAACTGCTACAGGCTGTTGTGTGAATAACCACCGACCTCAATAGAAATGATTCTTATGCCTTATGCTTTCCCAAATAAAATAATCAAGAATCATAGTTTTTGAAATTGAAACCTTTTACCTGCCAAAAAGTGGAAATGTTCCTTTTACACTTTTTTTTTAAATTCTTTTGCTGCTTGCATACGATATGGTAACCAGATAAATGTAATGCAAGTACGTTACTGTTACAAAATGTTCTTTGTTGATTTGCCCATACGCATGATTTGACAAATTATTGTGGACTTTTTTTTCTTGGAGTGCTTTTTTGATTATCCAGTGAAGCAAAACAGTATTTGCAGCAATAGAGCTACCCTTCTGCCATTAATGACAGTCCTCCAACAAAGAGGCGATCAATAGTCATCATCTGTCAAGCTTTCTGAGGATATGAAGCTTCTATAGAGCTTCAAGTCGACTATTTCTAGTACTGGTCTGGGATTTTTCTACATCATTTTCCATCTGTGTCTATGTGTGTTTATTTATTCATAGTTGTTACCATTGTGCTCCATGTGTGAAGGGGGTGTGTGTGTGTGTGTGTGTGTGTGTAGGGGTGTGTGGTGTGTGTGTGTGTGTGTGTGTGTGTGTGTGTGTGTGTGTGTGTGTGGTGTGTGTGTGTGTGTGTGGGTGTGTGTGTGTGTGTGTGTGGGGTGTGTGTGTGTGTGTGTGTGCTTTACTGCCCCAGATTTGAGAGGAGAGCTCATGGGCACTCAGCCCGTTCAAATGTGGGACCTTTTACTAATTAAGTCCCAGAACATCATCTTCCAAAATCTAACCTCAGGACTTCCAGGCGACCTGTTTTAAAAACAAGTTTTTCCTCCTCATGGCTGCAGCTTAACATCTGGGGCTGTTCTATGAAGTCTAGTGCTGTAAGCATGTAGAACTAAAACACAGCTGAAAGCTGGACATTTTGAAGGTGCAGCAATAAGTTCAATGTATGAATATAAGAAGTATAGCATACCCATTCAGATACATTTGAATTGGGATGTTTGCAGTGTAAAAACACAGAACCTTTTTGTTGCTGTGGGTTTTTTTAGGCCAAGTGGAGCCCCAAAAATATTTTAGTGTTGAAAAATTATGATAGTGATGATACCATGGCGCTTTTGTCTTCTTTAATGTTCATTCACACAACATTGGTGCTAACCATAACTGCAGGTACTTTAAGGCTACATTTCAAACACACTTTTGGAGTGACATAACGGAAAAGTCTGAAGTAAATCTCCCAAAATGACAGGAAGAGAGTTATGTATCTACACAGGTCAGATTCAGTAATTGTTCAATTACTAATATTTCACGGATGGGTGTGTTTTGGTCCAAAATGTGTTGGTTAAAGTCTTATTAACAGTAAACCTAGTCCTGTACCTACGTTTGCTGAAAGGCCGCTCTGTGAATAAGAAGCAATAATTCAGAAAGTAAATGAACCCAAGGACAAAGATTAGAATCTGTGGGAATATACGTTTCCTCTGGTCTGAAAGAAAAAAAGAGAAACTGTTGGACTTTGTTACTTGTTGAGTCTCAGGGTGTTTTCATGCACCAAAATCGCAAAGTTCAATTTTCAATTGGCATGGTTCACTTTCACACTGCACTGTGTCAAACAAACCAAATCTCCCTCGCATACAGTGGTGCTGTGCCAAGAACCATGGCAGGAAACGACACAAACACCTCCATCCACCAGTTCTCTTAAACAAACTATTCCATAACCCAAGTCATACAATTATTAGTATTTATTATGGGTTGTATCAAATATAAAAAAATGTGCTAATCTTAACCAACCTAAAACAGAAAAAGGCTTCATGTCACACAGTGACTCTTTTTTATATTGTGAATATAAACATTTTGTTTAAACTGAAATCACAATACAACTGATTACAATTACAGAAAATGATATATGCTTTGGTGGTTGGATTGTATAACAAGGTTCAGTCGTTTGGTGCAGACCAGTAATTATTCAGAAATGAGTCCCAGCTTTATTTTTAAATTGCAAGTTGGGCTACTTTAGGCTCTTAGACAGCAATGCGGTCATAAATCATTGCTGGCACATGTTCTACGCTTGTGGGCATACAGTAACCAAATGATAAATTTGTGTTTTACGGGTTCTGCAAATAGATAGATGTAAAAAGTATGGTAAGGATTTTTAAACGTCAAACTTTCAGGGCATTTCCTCCAGTTTTCCCTTGAAGCTTGTTTCTAGGAAGGTGTGTTGAAGGTGAATATGGACAAAAAATAGTTTTAAATTGAGTCCTGGACCTTGAAGTAAAATTCTGCTACAATGCAGGTTAATGTGCAAAGCCAACAATTTCATATTAGCCTGTTGTATTGAGGGGAGGCAAATGCTTGAATCATCAAGTTGTTAGGAGGGAAGTGAAATAAGACAAAGGAGAAATACTGAAGTCGTACCAAACAACATAACTAGCTGTTCAGTGTACGGACAGACGGAGATCAGAGAGGATCGCTCCCCTTCTCTCCTGCTCACATCTGTTGCCATGACAGCGTAATCTAAGGACAACTCTTGCTGTTGAAGCAGAGGTTTGAGACATACACGGCCACGGCCTTGATCACACAGTCTGTGAATGTTAATGTGTGCCGAGTTAGAAAGAGAAAAATACGGCTGGACTGATTGCAGCTGAATCCCGTGTCAATGAGCATTCTCAGGGAATGAGACAGGAGAAATGTGGGATTTGCCTTTGGGGAATCTGCATAGGAGCTTGTGTCATGCAATAATAAAAATAGATTTTATGTTTTATACTTTGCTTATGTCATATGCATAATGTAATAGGGATCCACATAATCTGAAAGTCGTTGCATACAACAAAACTCCATGTCATCAGTTAGATCCCATCGTTCTCACACTGACTGCAGGTTTTGTTACAAGTTAACAATATCAATCTCTGCCTTTAGAATAATGAAATTCTCATTAAGTCTGCTTATAATGTCTCTTAGACATCACTGATAGATTTTCTTAATTTGTCGAAAGCTTTTGACACAAATCTGGAAAACTCATTGTATCTCACTGGCCTGATTGAGATTCAAAGTAGCTGATTACAGTTTCAACTTAAGACTCTCGCTCTTCACTCTCTATATAAACAACCACTAAGAATTGATCAAGTTCTGTCTCTTTGTAGACAACATACTTATTTACAGTTCTTCTTCGATTTTACTTCAAACCCTTTAAATTAATATTTTAAATTAATATTTCAAGGATTGAAGTAATTGTTCGTTTAAAGGGCTTATAAATTAAACTAAGGTATTTAATTTATAAACCCTTTAAACGAACAATTACTTCAGTAGTTGTAAATTAAAGAATTTATAA